TTCAGGTATTTGAAGGGCTGTCGTGTAGAAGATGGAGCAAATCTATTCTCTCTTGCTCTGGATTGCAAGACTAGATCTAATGGGTGGAAATTACAAGGGAGTCATTACCGGCTAAATATCAGGAGAAACTTCCTAACTGTAAGAGTGGTTGAGCAGTGGAACTGTCTGCCTCTGGAAGTAGTGGAGGCTCCTTCGCTGGACATTTTCAAGCGGAGGCTGGACGACCGTCTTTCAGGTATGTTGTAGGTATGTAGGGCTATCTTTCAGCTATGCTCCTGCAGAGTGCAGGGGGTTGGACTAGATGACCTGCAAGGTCCCTTCCAGCACTAACATTCTTTGATTCTGTGATTTTCCTAAGCCACTTTCTTCCCCCTCTGTGGTTTGTACATTTATACTAGCAGATTAAAGAGTCTTTAAAAATGCAAAAGGCAGAGCTGGGCAGGGGTGTAGCCAGAGAATTTTGGTTGGTGGGGTGTGGGCAAATCTGGGGGGTGCCCCAACTGCACCTGCTGCTCCTCTTGCAGCAGCAAAAGAAGCAGCTCCAGCTCCTCTGCGACCTCTAGTCCTCTAGTCCTCTCAATTGGAGAGACTCAATTCTGGGCTGCTTTTCTGTGTAAGCTGGGGAGGGGGGAACCTCCAACTCTCTCTCTCTTGCATTTTGCAATTTTATTTTATTTTTCGCAATTTTATTTTATTTGTATTTTTAAAAACGTATTTATTTTTCAGCCCAGAAAAAAGAAAATGAGGCTCAGGCTTCCCTGACTGTGCCCGGGATCATCTTGGAAACCCCACGTACATATATATCCAAGGGGGCGGTGCTCATCTTTGAGGAGCATTGCCCCCAAATGCCCCCCTGTGGCTACAGGCCTGAAGTTGGGTCTGCTATTAAATGATTTCTCTACAAAATTCATCTCTATATATTTAGGATTTTTCTATGCTGCCTCTTCAAAGGCGGCTCACAATTAAAAATCACAATTTTTAAAAAAACTAGTGGAGCAGAAAGCAGGCCTCAGAGTTGACGCTCCTGTATGCCTTCTGTCTCACTCTAAAAGAGGGGAAGGCCTGGTCTTTCAAAAACAAGACTACCTATTTGCAAAAGTGCCTAAACTAAAGATAGCGAACCAAGACTGCTTTAATGACACTCCTGGGTTACATTGCTGGCAGAAGGTGAGCCATTGTTTTGCTATCTTTTAACCCAATCGACTCATTAAGAAATTAACAATGGTGGGCCTCTCATACAGTGACTGACTCCCCTCCCTCCAGGGAATGGTTTGGGTTGTCTTGACTGTCTGCACTGTGATACAGATCATAAAAGTTCAAAGTATTAGCTCAGTAAGATGACAGCCTCTTCTGTTTATAGGGGAAATCCGAGGCTTCCTTTTCCTCAGAGGGACTCATTGAAAATCCATGCACGGCCCTGGCCGAGGAACATTGTCTCTCGTATATGCCCTAGTAAAGCCCTCTGTCTTCGTAGTACAGATAACATGGAGCAGGGTGATATAATTGCAGTAAAGAGGCCCCAGAGCTGGCAGTAATAGGATGGTTCATCTGATATGTACTGCTGTTGGGGGGAAAAGCCATGTATGTATGTTCTCTGGGGATAGTAAAGAGGCTTTCAAGGATTACACTTTATGTAGTATGAAAGCTAATGTACCAGAGAGCAAGTATGAAGGAGAACTAATACACAGTTCCCACTTCTTCCCCTTTGGTAGATTTTTCCCCCTGAATTATTAGTAGGTTTCATTCTGCTTTACAGTGTAGCATTCCATTCCTGTTCCGATACAGTAGATCAATCCTCAGCCTTTTCTTACCAGAACAGGCAGGTTTTTCCAGGGTTCCTAGAAATAGTCCCCAATAGGAAGCCATAGTGGCTAGATGGTATATTACACCAGATAGATTAGCTAAACAAAATAGCAACTGCTCTGATAAATGCTAGAAATGTAAAAATAAGACTGGCTCTTTTATCACATGTGGTGGCTATGTGATGTTACAAAGAGGTATTGAAGATGAATTCATGAGATAATGGAAAAAATAACAAGAACTAATATCCCGTTTACTCCAGAGATAGTGTTATTGAATATATTTCCGAAAGACTTTGATAAAGCAGATAGGTATTTGATAGTTCATGTGTCGACAGTTGCAAGGATAGTATTTGCCAAATATTGGAAAATAATGGAAATACCAACAAAACAAGAGTACATGAACAAACTATTTGAAACGGCGGAAAATGACAAACTGACACTTGAGATGAGAGCCGGCACAGAATGCACTTTTCAAAAAACTTGGAAGAGATTCTATGATTGGTATAATGTAAACGCAACTGATAGATAAATGTAGTAATTTGAGAATGCAGAAAAGATAAGCTTAGCAAAATAGATAATGAATGTAGAAATTAAATAAGCAGAAGACGTGATAAAAGTCTCTTGTTATATATTATATGTTGTTGGGGGTAGTTGGGTGTTGTCTGTCTGTATGTTTGTAGTATATAATGTATAAGTTGTCTGTCTGTATGTTTGTAGTATATAATGTAAAAAAATAAAAGTGTACCCTCGGTTACTTAAAAAAAAAAAAAGGAAGCCATAGTGGCTTTCAATGCTGAAGCTTCGAAAATGTCTAGGAAGAAACACTGTAATTCAATAGTCTCGCAAAAAATGCAGCTGCAACAAAAGATAATATTTCATATCAAGCAAAGGACTTTGACAAGTCTCTGGCTGCTGCAGAACCACTTGAGTTTCTTCGACCTCTATGAAATGCTTGGCCCGCATTTTGGTACAGCTCAGCAATCAGAGGAATCAGTTGTATGTAATATCCAATACTGTCCACTGGGGGCAGCCACAGCTATTGGACACCCCATCCTGGTTACAGGAAAAAATGTGACGGTCAGGTAAGAGCCAGGGACAGCTAGCAGCAGGATAAGAGGCAGGCTGGAGGTAAGGATAAAAAAGGAGGACAAGCAAGATAGAGACAGCAAGCCAAAACTTGGAGCATTCTGATACGCTAATGGGGGACTGTTGGACTTTCCATAGTATTATATGGGACGAAAAACATCATGTCATTATAGTGATTTTGCAAAGGAATTACAATAGCACTGGAGACAATACAGGCACAGATGTTTTGTTTGGTTTTCAGGGATTATGAAGATCATCTAGTCCGGCCCCTGCCCTAAATCAGGATCCCCATGCAGCATCTCATTCCCATCCATTCCAGTGTAATCCCATATTACTGCTTGTACATAGGAATCATGTTAGTGTACCACAAGTGAAAAATAATGAATGATCAAGGTGTGTGTGCATTAAGTGCCATCAAGGTGCTTCCAACTTACGGCGACCCTATGAATGAATGAGCTCCAAAATGGCCTGTCATCAACAGCCTCGCTCAGGTCTTGCAAACTGAGGGCCATGGCTTCCTTGATGGGAGTCAATCCATCTCATGTTGGGTCGTCCTCTTTTCCTGCTGCCTTTTCTAGCATTAGGGTCTTTTCTAGAGAGTCATAATGTAACCAAAGTACGAGAGCCTCCGTTTGGCTATTTTAGCTTCTAGGGAGAGATCAAGCTAGATCTGACCTGCATAGATGTATTTTTTTTAGTGTTCTGGGAGGAATTTTGCTGGTCTTGAGAAACAAAGATTCACTTTGCCATCCATCTATATATATATTTAATGTCAGATGGGTGGCCATGTTAGTCTGTGGTAGTAGAGCAAAATTCAAGTCCAGAAACCCCTTCAAGACCAACCACAATTTTCCAGGATATAAACTTTCATGAGTCAAACTCACTTCATCAGGTATTGGCAACGTGATCTTTGATTTTCAAAAGCATGTATCCTGGATAATGTTGATCTCAAGAGACTACTGGTCTCCAATTTTGTTCTATAGATGTTTCATGTTATTACCATTGTAAATACAAGAGGTCTGAGTAAAATGCACCACAACTGAGGAATGTGAAACAGTATAAAGTATGAATCAGCCACAGAGCCAAGGACAGCATAAATCTGAAGCTATTTTCACATAAATACCATTTATCATGTAATATCTGGGAGGGCCTTCCTTTTTAATTCAATTATGTGTAGCACCGCCTTATCAGCTTTTCTGGTAACACTGAGACTATAAATATGCTTCAAGCAAATAAGCATTCCTCCAGCAAACAAGTACTGTGTTATTTTCATGCAAAAGTGTATGAGTGCCATGGAGGCTCAATTTGTATTCATGAGTAGTTTGTTGTTCAATATACCTCACGACTCTGAGATCATCAGCTAGGTACCTCTCAATTGTGCAAGGAAATAGAAAGCAAACAACATCACTGCAAATGTCAATCCACCAAGAGCTAATAACTTTCTTCTGAAGTCTTGTGCATGGGGAGAAATGTACAGCCCATGTGGACAGGAGCAGTGGGTTGCTTCATATTAAAAATGTCTTGCTGATTGATATTGTAAGATTGACTCCCCCCCTCCCCACCAAAAATAACCTATTGTGATTGAAAGCTTCTATTGAAAGATACACGGAGATAGCATTGCATCTGTTTGAATAGTTTTGTGCCTAGCCATTTCCTTTCCTTTCTCAATGATTTTATTTCTCCTGTGCTTTTATTTATTTAAAATATGTATACGTCACCTTGTCTCCATAAGCTAAAGGTGGCTAACAAAACAGCAAAACCTATAAGGACAAAAAAAACATAAGCAATAAATTAAAAACAGTATAGAGTTAAACACGCACAGTGAAAAACACAGCCAGAACATGTCTTATTGGCCTTATTGAATGCAGAGGCGCCCACCACACCAACCCTACTCATTCTCACCCTCTGCATAAGAAAGCGGTCCAAACAGGGGGAGGGACCCCAAAAGTATTAAAGGATACTTGTTGCTGAGCTACCTTCAGCTAATAATATTTTTCCTCATTAATAGTTTTCTTTTGCTTTACCCAGCAACTGCAGAACCTCTGAAGGTGCAAGGCCTGGGCTTTCCCTGAGCACTCTGTGTCTGAGATATCCATCTGTTTTTCCTTCCAGGTTACCAGTCTGTCTTGACCAATCAACAACAAGGGTTCCAAGGACTCCTCGGAATGCAACAGCCTCCCCAAAGTCAGAACCTGATGAATAATCAACAGGGAAATCAGGTGCAAGGCATGATGGTTCAGTATCCAGCCATGTCGTCTTATCAGGTACCAAGCAACTATTTGGACATCTACATTGTTCAAAAAAAAGGAGAAAACCACTAACATGTCACCAGGCGTCCAAAGGCCCCATTAACACGGCAAAGTTGCCGCGGGAGAGGCACGGAAAGTGGGCGGATTATCCGGGCGCGATCACACCTCAACATCTGGAAAGTGGAGCGCACCCATGGCTTACCGCCAACATTGCGCATTTTAAAACTAGTACCTCCAAGGTACTAGTAAACGTTTGCCACGGGCTGCCTCCAAACGCCCGTGGTGTGATCGCGCCGGCGCGCGGCATTCCCCTCCGGTCCCTCGTTTACCCGCTGGCACCGAGGGAAGGACCCGTGCTGTGTCGCCGGCGCGTCTGATCGCTTAATCGCGGATCAAACTGCGTCGTGGCAATTAGGCACGCCTCCCCCCCGCGATATCCGGCCCGTGTGCCCGGGGCCACAGTTATGTATTCATTGTCACTACAAACCTAGGCTGAGCTGATATGCACCCCTCCCCCAGTTTTCCAATCTTGTTCACAGTATGCAGGCTCACGTGCCCTTCTATGACTTTTTGGGGGGAGAGGTGAAAAGAGACAAAGTGTTTGCCCTGAGCACTGGCCGTGGAAGTGATCACCTCACCACTGATCGCAAGTGCTGTTTCTCCCCTCTACTTTATACTATTTGATTCATTTATTCCAAATGTTTCTAAGCTGCCTTTGTACCAAATCAGAAAAGCAAACGTTCCACTTGCCTATGGAGTATGACTTTGAACAATGCATTTTGGAGTATTCTGTCTACTCTAGAAAAACTAGATTTGAGTCCAGGGGCACCGTAGAGGCCAGCAAGATCTTCAGGGTACAGGCTTCCAAGAATCAAAGCTCCCTTCGTCAGATACAATGGAGCTTTGACTCCCAAAAGCTTGTACCCCCCCCCTTGTTGATCTTTACGGTGCTCCCTGACTTGAATGTAACTCTTCTATTGCTGCCCTCTGAAACTGCCTCCTCTAGTTATCAGTTACTCAACTGTAGAGGTATCTAACACTGTCTTCAGAGATGGGAATCTCACTAGCTGTTTCTGTTAAGTCCTGAAGACAGAAAACTAGCTGTGTGTGAGGTTGGGTCTACTGTCAGGAAGAAAGGAGGCCATTTGATTTACTTCCTAACTTCATATCTGGATTGAGATGTCATAAAACATGATAAGTCAGGCCACTGCTTCCATTCTCCCATTTGTCCCTTTATAGAAACAAACAAGAAACCAAATGAAGGTCACTCTGTGTTGTAAAGCATTCAGTTTGTCTAAGACATATTCCACTGCCCGCTTCCATTTCCCCCCCATAAAAGAAAGAATAAGGGTCTTAACCTAAGAAGAAAAATGCAGTATGCCTTTTTTACCAAAAAAAAGGGGGGGGAAGGGAAAAGGGAAAAGGAAATCTTCTCTATCAGATCCAAAGGAATGGGGTAGATTTATCACAAAAACATCCTAGTACCGAATGCTCACCGTGCCCTGACCTGGATGGCCCAGGCTAGCCCAATCTCAGAAGCTAAGCAGGGTCAGCCCCAGTTAGCACTTGGATAGGAGATCACCGAGGAAGTTCAAGGTTGCTATGCAGAGGCAGGCAATGGAAAACCACCTCTGTTCATCTCTTGCCTTGGAAACCTGATGCAGTTGGCTGCGACTTGACAACACTTTACACACACAATGCCCACGTTAGGTCTAAATACAGAGGCCCCGGTCACATGGCAAAGTTGCCGCGGGAGAGGCACGGAAGGTGGGTGGATTATCCGGGCGCGATCACACCCCAACATCTGGGAAGTGGAGCACACCCGTGGCTTACTGCCGACAATGCGTATTTAAAAACTAGTACCTCCAAGGTACTAGTAAACATTTGCCATGGGCTGCCTCCGGACACCCGTGGTGTGATCGCGCTGGCGCGTGGCATTTCCCTCCGGTCCCTCGTTTACCTGCTGGCGCCAAGGGAAGGACCCGTGCTGTGCCACCGGTGCGTCTGATCATGTAATCGTGGATCAAACTGTGCCAGGGCAATTAGCCACGCCCAGGGCCAGAGTACCTTAACTATTAGCTATAACAGTTTAGGTGGTAAAGCAGCCACAGATAGCTGTTTGAGGATCAGTATCCCTCAGCATATGGTTTGGAACCATGAAAGCTTGCTCATCCATAATTCCCTTAGTAGTTTGGGAAATATGAGATCCAAACTACACATTACAGAGAGAGACATGGCCCCTGCCAATTCACTTCTTCCAGATTGTTTTATTGGGGGGGTGTTTCATTGTGTTAACATTTCCACCACTATCCCACAAAGCCAGAGAGGGGTATCGCCAGCAGTGAAATCACGTCCTGCATTTCCCCCCAATTACATCTTTCTTTAGATACGTACATCAGGAGTGCGTCCAACCCCTCACCCCCTTAATGTGCAGAACAAAGTTTGAGTCCAGCGGCACCTTTAAGACCAACAAAATTTTATTCAAGCTATAAGCTCTCATGTGCAAGCACACTTCTTCAGATACAGTGAGACAGAATTTCCTTAGCTATTACCTATAAGAAGGGGGGGTAGTTTCCAGGAAGGGCTAGTTGCCCCTTAATACGCAGTTTGACTTCAGCGTACTCTGGGAAACTGTTGCAATTGGGCATATCTGTAACAAATTAAGCTTGCAGACTGGCAAATAACAGAGCACAATCCTACTGAAGTCTACTCAGTGGGCCCTACTCCCAGGAAAGTATCCTTAAGAGTTTGCACTGGAAGTAAGTGAATTCAGTCCTGCTCACTGAACTCATTTCTGCTCAGTGAATCAAAGAGGTGTTCCAAACCCATCTCTGGGGCGTTATGTAAGTATGTGGGCTTGATAAGCACTTCCTTTGCATTCTGGGGGGGGGGGGGGGGTTCCCTCCTCCCAATCTCCTCCATGAGGGCTGGATGTGGGTGTCATTTGCCGGAAGGAGAGACTAGTTTCCCTCTGGTAAAAATGGTGTGTTCTTATGAAAGGCGTGCATGTGGGGGCAGTTATAATCCTTTGAGTTTACCTATAATATATAATCTTTTCCTATCGGGAAAAAGGGGGGTAGGAGGTCATTCTATAATACGTCTTGCAGTATCCCTCATTCCTTCTGTGCCAGCTGTTTGCAAAGGAGGCTCTCGGCTACATGCAGTCACATGTCACTTCCTCCACATCTCTCTGAAGATGAATTAATGATGCATAATGAATTGGGGATTTGACTGTGAGCTAGAAATGTAATATTCAGAAACAGTGTTTGACTCTGGAGCAGTGGCATTCATTGACACCACAAATGAAGTGGATTGTTGGTATTATGTTTAATTGTTGTATTGTATTTTATCGTATTGTTGTAACCCACCCTGAGCCTTCCTGTGCAGGGGAGGGCGTGCAGGAAATCAAATCAATAAATAAATGGATCAACTTTTTTGCTGGCAAAAAAGAAAAGATGTATCCCTCCTGTCAAAGCTGCCCTGCCTTGTTCTTAATGAATTGTTCCCCCGTTTCCAGGCCAAGATCCTGGAATGAGACACTGCTTTGATAACATGAGAGTGCCCTGGATTAGGATCAGTCAAGAGAGCCAGTTTGGTGTAGTGGTTAAGAGCGTGGACTCTAATCTGGGAGAACCAGGTTTGATTCCCCACTCCTCCATATGCAGCTGCTGGTGTGACCTTGGGTCAGTCACAAGTTCTCCCAGAGCTTTTCTCTCAAGAGCAGTGCTCGATGGAGTTCTCTCAGCCCTACCTACCTCTCAGGGTGTCTGCTGTGGGAAGGGGAAGGAAAAGGAGTTTGTAAACTGCTCTGAGACTCCAAGTGAAGGGTGGGGTATAAATCCAGTCTCTTCTTCTTCTTCTTCAATGCACAGCAAGAAAACGCCATAAAGCTAAATCATAAAGGAAAAGGTTAAAAATACAGTGAGGGTTCAAAGCACATAAAAACAACAACACTAACTTCCTAGATACACTTACTGAAGGTTCTTACAGCAAGGATATTAAGTTCCTCAGGCATTAACAGACACAATTTAGATTCAAGCAGTATAATCCAGAACCACTGCAATGGCGGAGGCAAAAAACGTAGGAGAGAAAATGAGTAAGTGAGACATATGAGGGCAGCCTACATTTCTAGGAAACTTAGGCCACTGATCTACTGACCTCTTACAACCAATCAAAACCCTGTCAGAGACAGCTTTCTGAAAGATGAGCAAAACGTCCCCATTCCAACCCTTACGGCTGCGGACAGTGAATTAATTAGCAGGGCTGTGAGATGCCTGTGGAATGGCCTTGAGTTCCCAAATGGCCAGTGCAGGGAGGGCTGCTCTCACCAGCTGCTGACACCTGGTATTCACTCAGTTGAGAACAGAAGGGAAAAAAGTCTTAGAGATGGAATTTTGCATGAAGAAAACTCATTCCCTTGACGCCGTCTGAAAAGAGGCTGTGTCTTGGGACTTGCATATTCAAAAGCCGTGTGAGGTGGAGGCTGTACTTAAGAGGGGAATTGGGTGAGACTGAGTGAAAAAGCTGGCTGGATTTAAACCCCAGTCTGGAGTTTGCTCAGGTGATTTCCTAAGTTGGCCGAGTTGGTTATGTAAAGCTGAATATTTGGGGTCAGATTTTAGTATCATATCTTAATACAGTGAAGTAACCAATTAGAATCGAATCAGTCAGTATGTCCTCCCCAATCATCACAAAAGATCATTTAAAAAGGCAATCGTATGCATGTATATACAAAATGAGTATAGGAAAAAAAACAATTTGAATGTCAGACACAAAATACAGTTCATGAAATCATCACCGTAAGCAGTAGCCATATGAAACAGTATCTCTAAATAGCTTCACAATCAATTGCTTGTCAGAAAAAGGAGAAGTTGCCATTCAACTATGAACTTTTTCACTATTGATTTAACTTTTCTGAAATAAACAAGAAACTAAAATGTCATGTGAAAATTCAGATCCTCAAGCCCAATAAAGCCAAAGGCTGTTTTGAAACAACATGTCCAAAGAACTTACTTGGCTAGTGGTTTTAATGCCAACTTTTGAAAAACACTTATTCAGATGGCTTATCATCTCCCTTTGGAAATATGCCAGCAATGGCACCATTTCATTCAACAATTGACTGGGAGCTACAAAAGTGCTTCCTATCAGATAAAAACCCTTTACCCTTGTGCTTCTCTTGAGGGAGAGAATTTTCAGCCCTCCTTTCTCGATCTTCTATTGTATGTGAGTGGGAGGGGGGAAAGACATAAGTGGATTTTGCCGTGCTGTTTATAATGTTGGTCTGCACATCCAATAGCAAACCAAAGAGATCAAGTGAGGAAGAGATAGAGTCTCTGTCTCAATCTTTCTCTCTTGATAGAAACTCTACTGTTATTTAGCATTTAAATCCTATAAGTTGTCCAATTTAATTCTCTTGTTCCGCTGTGTTTCATGGGTCCCACTTAAATGTGAAAGAACTGAGAGTAGAGTATTACCAAGTATTTCTGATTATGTGGTAAAGCACAAGTACATGCTCCTGTCCACCTTTATAGTTTTATTTTCGTGCAGCATTGCCAGCACAATAGCGTCCTGAACTCAGGCAGCTTCTCCATTAAGTCACTGACAATAACACGATAAGCCAGAGAGGGGAAAGATCCAAGGCTGCTTCCACAAGGTGAGGATTCTGCACTCTGCTATAGCTGCAAAGCCATGTGCAGTACTGATGGGGCTTCCACACATGGGAGTTTTCTGCAGTTGAGCAGTGAATTCCCACCCCGGCCATCTTGCAACTTCCCCTCCCATTCTTTCCCAGACAATCTAAATATAAACTGCCTGCACCTTTCCCCTTATGTCTCTGGAACAAAAGGACTGGAGGCTTCATGGTTGGGTTTTTTTCATGAAAACTGAGAAGTCAGAGGAAATGAAAATAGATAAGTGCCAATAGCTCATTATAACATTGTGCCATAATGCAGTTGTGACTACCAGTTGTTTAAAAGAACACACACAAAGCCTTGCAGTGGCAGTGCAGGGGAGGAAATGGGAAAATGCTGCCTTGTGGGTAGGACCTGTGCAGGGGTGGAAAATATTTACCATTCCTTCCAGATGACTTGATCGTGTGCTTGGACAATGATCTTTCCAAAAAGATGGGAGTAAGTAGGTTTGGGAAAGATTATACTGAGGATGGAGAATACATGGAAAGAGGATGATTACAGCATAGTGTGTGGAAACTCTAAAACGTGGTCCAGTTTGGAAGCCAAGGCAGAGAAAATCTTCCATGAGGAAACAGCAGCATAACATGTTGCAGTGCAATAGGTCCAAAGAAATCATTGGTTTCAATGTTAACAGTTGCCTATGGTTTTAGTTTCCTGACCCTTGAAACAATAAAAAATACAAATTCTTGAAGCCAGACTAATTACCTGTGTGACCTTTGCTCACCCATGTAATTTTTCAACATTGAATCAGTTCCGCTTAGAATATGCAGAAGTCCACTGTATTGCTGCCGCCCCCAAGCCTGTGCCAGTCCAACATTCTAATTTTGAAATTTTTGCCACATTAAACCCCTTTTTCCATATTCATGTGTACTGGGAAGATAAGAAGCGCTCATCTAGGAGTAATTGGTTCAAGAAGGAACATGAGTGCAAATAATATTGAACTAATACATTTGATTTGTGTTGCACCTGCACTGTTCCAGTTGCTTCATATGCATTATCTCATATTCCAGACTCGTATATGTATGCATACACATACAGATGGACACACAACCAGTTCCCCTTCTCTTCTTTCAGTCCTTAAATACGGTGGGGTTGTCTTTGTAAAATAAGTATAACTTGCTGTTAAATTCAGCAGTTGTCACCATCTGCTGATGTCAACACCTAGCAAGCCCTCCAGCCTGCAAATGGCAGGGAGGAAAAGGAAGATGGGAGGCAAGTTCATACCCCACACTTCTCATTAAATGCACAGATTATTGTTACATGAAAAGTTCCCGAAAATAAGTTGAAGAACTACAGTGCAGAGAGGTGGATAACATGCAGGGTCCAACACAGTAACAAAGGAAGAAAGAAAAGAATTTCAATGCAAGGTAGGGCCTTCATACTTTACTTGACTCTTTTAACTGTGCTCTTGTTTGCTCTCCTCCAGGTGCCAATGACCCAGGGTTCTCAAGGACTGCCACAACAGTCGTATCAACAACCAATCATGCTACCTAATCAATCAGGTCAAGGAACACTTACAGCCACTGGAATGCCCGTTTACTGTAATGTCATACCTCCCTCCCCACAGAACAATCTCCGGTTGATTGCTCCACATTGTCCCTCTAATAACGTTCCCGTTATCTCTGCGAACTGCAGAACAAACTGTGCGAATATGAACAATAGCGGATGGCAAGTCAAGTACTGAAACTGTGAATTTATAGTACAGATACCTAAAGATAGTGTGCATTTTTTAATGACAACTATCTCATGGCCTTCAACTGAAAAGAGGAACACAACACGAGTAATCGGTTAAGGGGCATAACAGGAGACCTCGCTGCTGGAAATATGTAAAAAAAACAACGAAACGTAATAAGTTGTTTGCTGGTTAATGGTGCATATTTTTGTCATGTCTGCTAGGTATGCCTTTATAGCTTAGCTAGTGACATGAAATCATTGAGGTAAGATTTTTTCCTACCACTAAACACCACTGTGTAGATTATAATATCCCTGATTCAGATTAGTTTTGTACTTTGTGTTGAGTTTGTGAAGCTAAAGGTATTTAAAAATATAATAAAACCACATTGTACCAAAGTTGTAATGGACATTTTAAAAACCTGATGAATGGAACGAATAATTTATATACACTATAGAGTTTTTTTATGGATATCTACTGTATTGTAGTGTTAAATCACAATAAAGTTACTTGACCTCATGAGGAAAGGTCAGCTTTCTAGTATTTGCTTGGTCTTTTCATTCTTTCAGGTCTCTCTTCATTTGGAGGGGATCTGCTGTTCAGTAGTAGGGTAATGTGCTTTGTACCTGAAAGGTTCAAGATTCAGTCCCTGGTATCTCTAGTTAATTGATCTCATGTAGTAAGAATGGGCCATTGTCTTCTAGAGTTGTACGTAAAGAATTCTGATTTGTTTTTTGTCAATGTAAGAAACTTGAATATTGGATTTAAAGCCTACCATATTAGTTAATCCAATAGCTGCATTTCAGAAGCAACTAAAATTCTCCTTTGCAGTTCAGGCACAGGAAAGAGCAAACATTGGAGTGTGATTGGATTAGAGCTTTTCTCTTTTATTGCAGTGATTGTCAGGAAGTGGACAAAGTACACAGAAAAGAGCACTGGGTTTGAAGCAGTGATAGGAAAACTGGCTTATAGTTCTGGTTGGGCAGTTTCCCTTCAGGCACATCACTTCTGAGTCACTCTTCCCTCACTGCCCCTTCCACCTCCCTTTGCCTAGGAATACAAAAGAAAACAACAGGGCATCAGAATAAGTGTCAGACTATTTATTTAGAATGTATTTTAATATTTCTATACCACCTTTCCCCGCACAAAGTAGAGGGTCAGGATGGAAGGTTTCCAGTCACTCCTGAATGCTGAAAATTCTCCCAGTATTCAGGTTCTGACTGTTCATCCCCATCCTCTGTCTTAGTTGATTCCAGCCAAAGTAGACAATACTGAGGTAGATGGACAAATTGTATGATTTTGGTGTAAGGCAGCTTCATATATGCCTTTCCCAATAGTCAGTCAATAATAAATCCCTTGTGCTTTTGATGATAAAAGTGCACTGCTGAGAATGTTAAAAAGACAAAAATCTCTATGTTTTTGGACAAATACACAGATGGTGCCAGTAATTAATCTTGAAAGGCTGGTTTTCAAAGATAGTTTCTGGTGGACTCTGGAGGCAGACTTCTGCCTGAAGACGCAGTGGAACTGAATGCAGTGCTTTACCACATCAGTGTCAGTCTTGGAGAGAAGGCACTCAGCATGTTGCTTCCAGATTACTTTCCGTCATCATATGAAAATGCCCAACCAATAGCTGTGTATGACATAGGTCTATTTCTAGCAAGTAGTTAACTCGTATCTGGACTGAACCACTTCAGACCACATGAAAACCCCCACGACTGAATATCCTCCCGTACAACAACAACGAAATGGCTTGCAGATAAAAAAATTAAATGCCAGAGAAGGCTCGGTTAGAACCTTTCATCCTGACATTTTTGTTGGTGTTGCTGCTGATGCTGCTGGTAATTATTTTTCATAGCATGCAGTCATTTGTGACACTTCCCTTGAAGTCTGAAATAGTATCATCAAGAAACGATCTTCCTTGAAGTGAAATAATATATTCAGATTTCCTAAATTGAAGTGGTGCAGTCAAGATTCAGGCTTACCACCTATCATTTGTGAGAAGAGGGTCCAAGTTCTAATATGACCATGACATGGGAATTCAGAACCTACTGAAAGCATTATGTCAAGGGTAGCATAAAGAGCAACCATTATTCTGGCACAGAATGGCATAAAGAATGAAAACATTTGGCAACTCGTCCCCTGGCAAATACAACTCTTCTGTATGGAGCATGTGTCCAGGTAAAAGCGTACGGTACAGAGACCTTCCAAGCAGGTGTATATTTAGCAAATGCTATGATATAAATGATATCCCCCCTCAGTATTACATGATGGCCAGTTGTTCATGGGAAAACAATAACTGAAACGTACCATACACATGTCAACAGCTACTGTGGGAGACCACTTGAAAGCAAGTAATTGTGAATAGGGATGCTGTGAATTTCACCGCAAACAAGTTTGATGATTGAACTTTACATCATCCCCAATATAGTGTTCTGGAGAAACCAGAGGTTTCTTGGAAGGTCAATGGAGTTCCTCAGTGAGAAGAATGGCAATAGTGGACCACTCAATGACATATTCCAGGATCCCCAGTGTGGTGTCACCTGCCAAGTATCTCCTCCATTATGCAGGGGGTTGCCTAGATGACCCTGGAGGTCCTTTCCAGCTCTGTGATTCTATGATTCTATCTTAGAAAGTGGAAGAGGCCAGGTGGGGGCTTAATCCAGTAAGGCCTCTGATCGGTTGTTGGCAGGGGTCATTTCGTAGAAAAAGAGGTGCAGGTATGGTGATACCAACGAAACAGGAGTTTGTGAATAAACTTTTTGAAACAGCAGAAAATAATAAACTGACTCTAGAAATGAGATTAAGTAAAGAGTGGACATTTCAAAAAACATGGAAAAAGTTTTATGATTGGTATAATGCAAATGTAATAGAAGATTAGGCAAGGATAGCGCAATGGACTTGAGAACACAGAAGATAGAAGAATGGAAAGTATTTGATATAGAGTTTTTATTTGTTTGTTGTAGATTTAAAAAATAATAAAAGTATACCTATGGGTACTTTAAAAAAAAGAAAAGAAAAAGAAGTGCAGGAGCTCATTAGTATATGCCACACACCCTGACATCACCAGAAGTGTGTCAGAAGGCAACACCCACCACTCAGGCTCCACTGGACTGTTTTGGATTGCTAGCTATTGGAGGGGACATGCAGATCTGCCCTCACAAAGGAGGGAGAGCTTGTACCTGAATAAAACTTGGTCTTAAAGGTGCCACTGGACTGTTTTGGATTGCTAGCATGGGGGGGACACGCAGATCTGCCCTCACAGAGAAGGGAGAGCTTGTACCTGAAGGCAGGCCAGGGGAGGGCTGTGCAACTTACCTAGCTGCTTCTTGCTCCTTGTGGCCTGACTGAGGGCTGCTGGGAGCGGGGCTTGTTGCATGTGCCCGCCCCCTGGGCTCCTTACTGCCGGAGCTCTGCTCCTGTGCGCTCCCGCAAGAAATGACCCCTGGTTGTTGGAAATTTGATTGTGCGAGTTTTTAAAAATGTTGCTTTGGCAGCAGCTGCCACCACAGCACAAGGATCTTCACTGTGTGACTGAAGTAAGTTGAGGTGGCCATTTTGTGACCGCGCCCATCACGCTGTGTCAGAATTCCAAAGGTGCCCAAAGGTTCAAAAGAATCTATCAGGCCTGGTCATTTTCTGTGTGAACAGACTGGCCACCCTAGAACATGTTATAGAATCTTTTGCAATACACAGGGCTTTCTCAAAAGGAAATCCCTTCAGGGTTCCTTAACCATAAAAAATCTGAAATCAATCTGTTCAAACTACAGTACCAATCTGAATCCTTGGAAGGAAGATAGGACCAGTGTTCCCTCTAAGCTGAGTTAGTGTGAGCTAGCTCACAGTTTTTTAGCCTCCGGCTCACACACTGTTGTCTCGGCTCACAACTTCAGTGCCAGGAGCTCACAAAGTAGAGTTTTTGCTCACAAGACTCCACAGCTTAGAGGGAACACTGGATGGGACACATATGTGAAAAAAAGAATGTATGTTCTAGTCATTGTCACTGACCTAAAATAGTCATGCTGGTATTATTTGTATTGTGTGAATTCTTGGAATGTTTCCAGCATAAAAATTTCCTCTAGATTGTAGCTGACAAGAGAGCTCTTAAATGGGCATTTTTATTTTATTTTATAATGAACCAGATAGTAAAGTCAATTTAGATAAGCAGTAAGAATTGCTTCATACTACTGATAATAATGTGATTTGATTCAGGGTTTGTTTCCCCTATGGGAGTGTGTGACAGTGTTAAAATTAGACTTGATCCAAAATAGGGGTGGGCAGTTTTCACAGAAGTTTCATGTCTGTCCAAAATGTGGTATTTGGGAGAGGCTACAGGTCTAAAAATTGTTACAATGGCCAATTATTCTCTGTTTTTCCACACCGGGTCATGGCATTGCCCCTATGATCTGTTCAGAAAGAACAAAGCGATTGGCTTTTTTTGTACAGGAAAAACTACCTTGTGGGGGTGATTGAAAACAGAAATTGCAGGGTGTCCCTAAGTCTTTCCTTGCCCACTAGTTATCTGTTCCAAATTATCATCCTCCAAGAGGCTTTCCCCTTTCCCAGAGTTTTAGTCATATTTCTATTACAAACGTGCTCTTGAAAGTCAGCAAGAAGACAACCACTGTGTGTGGTGGGTGACTTGGAGAAATGGTATGTGAAGAAAAGTTAGGCACACACAGGGTGCTGTATCTCTGCTCCAAATCACTCCTCCAGGAAGTTTTCTCCATGCAGGTGTTCAAGCAGGGTTTTTTTTTGGGGGGGGGGGGTTTCTTGTTTCTCTTGCAAACCCACAACAAACTCCAGGGGTGGTGGTGGACCCACTTAGTGACTACTTTGAGATAAGGAATAATGTATAGGGAAAAGGTTAAGCACACACGCCATTGCTTTTCTGCTCAGAATCACTCCTTTCCAAAGCAGGTTTCCCTGTATAAAAATAAACCATTGAGGTACCATTAGATGTTTTTGCACATAATGTATTTTTGGATCTTAGCTGGCAGTAGAATATGATGCCCAAATTTTTGTTCAAGGAATTATTATTAAACTTTCTTTTTAACAGGCTGGTTTTTCCTAAACACAAATTGCTGCAGATTTATGGGACTGTTTTTCCTCCAGCTATGCCCAAGGTCATTGTATTTCTAAGTCTGAAGCCTCCTTCCCTGTTGCTCAAGGTA